AATGAATGAATGCATGGATGAATGAATGAAGGAATGAATGAAGGAATAATTGAATGAAGGAATGAAGGAATGAATGAATGAATGAATGCATGGAATGAAATGAAGTGAAGTGAATTGAAATGAACGGATGCATGGACGAACAAATGAATGAATCAGCCAATGAATGAGTCAACGAACAAATGAATCACTGAGTCAATGAGCTCTGTAGTTTTCAGTCAAGGAAGATTGCATTGAGTGCGCATGCGACGTGCGAACCGTGCGCCAGTGGAAATGTCACCTGGGAATCATAATAACACAGGTGGATTTGGCTTCTCTGCTACTGCTACTATAGCTCAATTTCCGACCTGAGAGGTTGATAGTCTCAGTCACATTCCCGTACGCGCATCGGCGATGCTGTCAGAACGCATTCCTATCATCAAGATGATTTGGTCCGGAATCCATTAGCGAAGCCTGTGCCACAGAGTGATGCTTTCACTGGCCAGAACTGTCAGCTCGTAAGTACCCTAAAGCCCCATTCAAATTTACTTGTACAACACAAATAGGCTTGCTGGATATGTAGGAATACAATCACGGTTAGGTATACTTGAAAGTTGGCGTGGGTGATTGTAAGAGCTACTCACATCTCTTCGTGCTATCTCAGGGCGTCCGGCCCTACCCTTTACTGAGGTAGGGCTGTGGCTTTGGTCTTGTGGCTGTGTATAAGATCCCTAGGCACATTTGTCAGCTGCATCTCCAGCGCCATGCATCGCACATTCTTCAGGTCACTCTTCAACTTGATTTCTGTGGCCTTCCGCAAAAGCTCCTCAGATTTTTCTACGGAGGCTGTCAAAATCATGGTCCTTTTGAAGGGCTCCTATACAGTACAGGACGGCCCCAACATTCCGCCCTAATCGTCATAATTGTCCACATGAGTGGCTTGTTGGTGTCTGTTCCGAGAAAAAGCTAGAACTTTTGTTAGGGCCTTCAAAGTGGCACTAATGTTGACTTCAGTGATACGCCCCTCATCTCCCCCCCTCGATTCATAAATCCCAACTTTGAGGGGCCCCGGAATAATGGTGCCTCAAATGTAGGTCGGAAAGTTTATGTGGAATCAGTTAAACATTACATTGCAAGGCCCAAGTGGCGCAGGACAGCAGGCATCGTGCAGACATCGACGCGCTGCGCGATCACTTGGCTTCGGCACTCGAGGCTGTGGTGGATCGTTGCTGGAATTACTCTGTACTTGTGGTAGATCAAGAGATATAGGGCTTTAAGTCTAGCCTCGGTGGGTAGGTTCAGCTTTTGAGTTCGGATGTATGTTGCTTCTTGCCAGCGTGTTCAAAGATGTCCCGGAAACAACGCGGTCCTGTGCGTATACAACCCCTGACAATGGCAAATCCGGCAGTCTTAAGTCCCAAGCGTAAACCTTCTCTTGAGCGGCCATGGCATCACCATGTATCAATGTCATTTTTGCCTGAGACAGGAACTGTAGCTCGTCTTGAAGTTGACACTTGGACAAAGGCATTGCAATCATGGCTTTACAAGAAAGACTACCCCGGCACTGCAGGGTGTGGCCAGGCCACCCCCCAGCTCAGACGGGCAAGAGGAAGGGACGCCCCGGCACTGCAGGATGCCGCAGGGCCACCCCTGTAAGGTTCAAGCTCGGAACCTCCCGTGCTGTAGGAAGAGGTGGAATGGACCTGCATAAGACTTGCAAATCTCCAGTAGAAGCGCTATCATAGTCCTCCCAGCCTGCTTGCTCACTCCCACCGTGGCGCATGAGAAAGGATTGAACTTCATCCTGCTACCATAATCGCCTGCATCAAGATTTGTTCCAGCCTGGGGCCCTGCCTGCTCGGTTACAAGCCCTGAACAGCTGAATGTTGAGTTGGACACGCTATATACAGCTAATCCGAGGAATGTGATGATGGCCATGGAAGCTGACAGGGGCAGCCAGACTAGACAGCAATGTTCGGCTTCAAAAGCACCTTTTTAGATACCTCTGCCCAGACGCCTCTAAACCGCACGCTCTCCCCAAAATGCCTGAGGCCCTATCCAGTGATCGATACGTTAGGCCACATGCTCCATCCGCGCCGTCCAGAAGCATAGATGTTTGGAATCTCCCGGTATTTACATGACAAGCACGGAACGCAAAACAATGCACAACAGCGCCAGGCGCTCCGCGGTGACCAGGCTGGTGGCCGGGAGGCCATGGAGGCGTCAACACGGGCGGAGATCCAGGCAGAGTGCCGCCGTAAGAACCATGCTAAAGCGTCTGAACTTAAGAGGATACCTGATGGCCAAGAACTTAAGTTGGAGTTTCAGGTCAGGTTTTGAGAGTAGAAGAGTTCCTAAATGTTCTGAATGTGATTTACATGGCGGTGGTTGTACTACCATCAGATGCTGTGAGACTGCAGCTGCGCTCCATTTGGGAACAGGTTGCACAGCTTGATCATGGCAGTTGGAGGTTTTCAGCTTTGCGCTGCCTTGCCTGTAAGGTGTGTTATGTAAGGTGCGTGCCTAATAGTCCCGAGTGCCGGTTGTCAACATCTCAACTGATCTGATCTCTGGTGAAAAAGGAATACTCACTTGGGACTTGTTGATGTTTTCTGCAGGCATGTCACACAAACATGATTGGTTGAGAGGCCTCGCTCACATTATCGGTCAGGCCTTACCATCATCTCGGTTCAAAGAAGAGGTTTGAATCGCCCGCATTAGTCCAGTATTCAGCCAGCGACGCTGGCCACTTAGTCCCACAGCGGCACCTGGCTAATCCAGTTATGCTGGCGCACACGCAAAATGGAGGATCGTTTCGGAGTTTCACGCACCAGCTTGTTTTTGTTTGGCTAGAACTGTGGGCGACCCCGACTTGCTTGGAGACATGACCATCTCATGCAAAGGCTCTTCGATCGCAAGTCAACGGCTGGATGGAGGCCAATGTCTTCAGTGAGAAGCTTGAAGAGCTTGGTTGCATACTTCTGTGCTGCGCGTTCTGAACTTTACACTTCATGGCATGCATGCTGATCAACTTTACAGTCCTGCCGGGTCAGCACCAACGCTGACAGCGCCGGGGGCGACCACCACGGCCGCTACCGCCACTTCCACAGGCGCTGGCACCAGCACCACCACAACCAAGAAGAAGATCAACAGCGACAGAAACAATAACAACCACCACCACTAACAACAACGACGATTAACAACCAACAATCAACCACCGACCACCGACCGACCGACGGACCGCGACCACGACCACAACCACGACGACGACGACGACGACGACGACGCCGCCGCCGGCGACGACGACGACGACGACGGAGGACGACGACGACGACGACGACGACGACGGAGGACGACGACGACGACAAGAACACCAACACAACCACTGGTGACGCCGCCACCACCAAAACAACCGCCAGCACCAAAAACACAAGTTCAATGACTACCCGTCATCATCCTTATTGTGACTCTCATTGCTGGTCTCCTGGTAGTTTCAAAGCCAAAGTTCCCAGGATTTGCGATGGAACGGCTAGAAGGAACGTGGGTTTCGAGACGGCTTCCATGACTTAGTGGGTTCCCGACGTCAGGCGCTCTCCATAACGAGGCAGCAGCCATTGCAGCCAACAACACCAACAGTCACAGATGATCGTTTCGTCCGAAGCTGAGTTTGGTGCAGGTGTTATAAGTTCCCAGGCCCTGGGCCAAGCCCAGAAGCCCCAGCCCCAGAAGTTTGCTGTACTGGAAACGATGATTTGGATTCTCTAGCTTGCTTTAGCAACTACTGCGGCTAGTTTTCAAGGGATGCTGGTAGGGATTGCGTTCCGTGACATTCGCAACGAGCACCAGCATGTATGGAAGTCTTGCTCAGAACAGGTCAGGCGGTACAAGTGGGCAGAAAAACTGTGTTGAATATTGCCTGGGATTTGCAAACAAACAGGCCGTCGCCGGCAGCGATTGGAAGCTTGTTGATCTGTGTGCTGCGTTGTTTCATGGTACGTTGCATGAACGGGTGGGTGTATACAAGAGGTTCCTGAACTTCCGTAGACATCGTGCAACATTCCAAACGATGAAGTGACAGCGCACAAATTATGCGAAAGGCAATTGCAGACTGCAAGAAAAAACTTCATGTTTTTTTCCTGCAATCCCCTGGAGTGGCCCCCTTGGTTCGCACGTTGCACATGCTGCTGCACAGGTTTTCGGTATCCGTTCACTGGTATGCTCTGGGACCAAGACCCTGCAACTTAGTCTACCTAGGCCTGAAATATGCTTTAGCTCCAGCTCTGAGCCCAATAGGTCCCAACCTGCAGGGGGTCAGTAGGGAAGCTACTGGGTACTAGGTATTAAAGGTTTGCAGGATTACGGTCCCATAGCAGAGGCCCATACCTCCGACGGTTAGATTAGTGTCCTTGAAGCCCTGTAGGGTTGCACATGATCTGTGGGGAACCACAAGGAGGTCTTCGAGAAACTGCGCGAAGACCTGAACGACGAGTGCGGGGAGCTGGCTGAGAGGTGCTGCAGACAGCTTTCTCGGTTGTGGCTTCAGGTTGTAGAGTTCAGGGGCCTTCTTGACAGCCGTTTGTGCCTCAAAAAGTTCTTCAGATAAGGACGAGCAAGTTTCTTCTCCAAGCTTGTACATAGAATATGGGGTTTCATGTGTGCAGGACCCACGTGTATGCCATTTCCGAAGCCCTCTTGGAAACCCGCTCCTCACTTGCAGGGTTCCGAAACCACCAGCTATCAAACTTTATTTGACCAGCGTCATGCATGTTCATGCTTTTGCATGACAAGCTTGTACAGAAAATACTTGTGCAATGGATAGTAAAACTCAGGAAAGTAGAATTTTAGCCCGGATGCAAGTTAGTACTAAAAGTGAATCTTTCATCAAACCAAATACAACCTATTTGCTGCATTAACAGCATAAAAATCATGATTGTTTGATTTTGATGTTGAATGTATTGGTTTTCCATCCACAAGGCATATAAGGTGTATCATCTACCTACAAACAGGTTTATTTGTGATAAGTTAGCCGCTACAGGTTTTCAAAATAAATTTACTACACCCTTTTGATTTGGATTATATATATATATATAGATATATTATACGTATATACGAGGCACTATACCTCATCTGAGTCAATGAAGCAATATCACAAAGCTGCTGTAAATTCTTATAGTAAGTTTATGTGCAGCTTATACAAGAAGCATCTACATAATATGATAGTTGAATACAAGGCAATACATACACTAGTGAATGTGAGGCAGCAAAGTAAGAAAACAACGTATTACCATGCTGTTGACAGTAATGTCGAAGAAAAAAAAGTCCACAAGTGAATAGCGAAGCCTATTTTAGATTTTTCGCAAGCTTCCTTGCCAGGGCCTTTCGTCGCAGGCCCTTGCTTCAAATGTTTTGGATGTTGTACGTGCCCAACCAAACAATACCGTGCATATCTTAGAATTGTACTTAGCAAGAGCGAAGAGCTAATCAGTTTCTTCGCTAGCAATTTGATAGCCTTTAACTCGGAAACGTTCTTGGCTCGGATGCTAAACGTTCCCCATGCATTCGTCCCTCTTTCCTTCCTTTCTTCATTTCCGCTTGTTTTTCTTTTTCCGCGTGTTCTTGTATTTCCTTGCCTGCTTCCTTCTTTCCATCGGGTTGCCCTAGTTGGAGTTGACGCATCACCATTCGTCCCGTGGACGGATGTCGTGCATTCTCATACGATATGCGCTCCAGTCTCGTCACTTGTTGCTCAGTTGTTTCCCATGCCGGCGTTAACTTTCCATGTTTTTGAACGATGGCCTCACAAGTTCCAGAGTCAAGATTCCCGCTACTGTAAAGTAGTCAAGGTGGCTTGCCAATGAGTGGAAAGCTTTCCCAGACCACTGAAATTCACTGAAAAGAGATACGGGGCGCCCTAAAGATAAAAGCCAAGCTCTTGGTATCCCATATCCGCATAATGCTACGGACACTCTGACTGATTTCGACCACTCCCACGAACAAGTGATGTTGACACCAGCTTTACATACCCGGTGTGAGCATTGAAGGGGACATGGAACACTGGTGCAAGCAAAATATGGCAGAGTTGCCTGTCTTACAAATCATGTGTAAATAGGTTGGTTTGGAAAGAAATGCATACTGCGGCGTGCCCTTCCGTGTGGCGTATGCGTATAAGCAAGCAAACCCACAGCCAGGGTTGTGATAGACGAGGTCACACCCAGAATTTCCCAGGGTTGATTTCTTCCGCGGCGAAACGTCGCAAAAGACGTTCATGTGTAGTCTATTGAGTGGTTGATCAGCAGCCCCTATGCCCTGTGGAGAAGTAATTTCTTTTGGACGTGCGCTAGTTCCCGTGTATGATCCCAATAAGGACCTTAGCAATTCCGTGAATAGATCTCCAAATCAACCGCATTCTACCGCCACTTGGATAGTCCATCTGAATGACGTGTGCAAACGTGCAGAATACTTTCTGGACAGGCGGTCAATGCAGCCCTGGCTTGCATGGGAGCAAGGAGTTGGCAAGAGAGATGTAGATACCACCAAAATACAAATATGTTCCTAATTTCCTGACCGCAATATTGCAAAAGTGCGGGGCGAGTTCTGCGAAAGCAAGCGGAAGGGAGGTGGCACACCGAGGCCGGTTTTGAAGGAAATGGAATTGGACAAAAACACATCTAAGCAGGTAGATACACATGCACACTGACATTTGTACTGATCGCAGGTCGTCTCAGGATCGCCTCTGTCACCGAATACCACAGTTATACCTAGAACCTCCATGAGCTTCACTTGGGTCTTCTTTGCCGAAACCATTGGACCATTGGTTGCTAAAGGTGGCTTCGGCGATGTCCACCTAGCCAAGTTTCCGTAAGATTTGGTCTACCGGATATGCTTTTGCTTCTGTTCCTCATGGTGTTCCAACAATACCTTGAGCGCGAGTTGGTCGAGATCAAAGAGTCTACGCATCTGTAATCATCGGAATGGAGACATGCTGGATAGTAAGAACCCAGATGAGGCCCACGCAGTTGGGTGGCCTACTCAAGCGAATCAGCTTGCATGTGGGGTTCCTAACAAGCCTTACAAGTACAGATCCAATGAAATTTAGTACTGAGGATGTGCTAAAAGCCATAGACTTATGAATGTAGGGCCTGAAGCCGGAGCAGTAATATCTAGGGGATGCGTTCGGTTCTAGTGTGTCGCTGTCACAGACTGCATCCTGAACCCATGGACCCCTGGTCTGTTAAAAGTTCATTTTTCTTGATGTTTATTGCACGGGCCACCACAGAGCCACATTATGGTTAGATAGCCAAATCTTAAACTTGTCGTCCCGTTAGATTTGTTAGGCTTGGAGCCGACGTCGCAGCACTTCGTGCGCAAATGGCTGAAGGCCTTGCGGAGGCTACAGCGGGCTGCAGAACGTTGCATGATTTGGGGCTTGGGGTTGGGCTGTTTTGCGGTTCTGGGTTCAAACTAAGATTACTTCTCTACCAAGAAGCAGGAACTCACCATTACACTGGTGCAAGGCCTCGGGCTCCAGCGTCGGGGGTCTACAGATTCAAGGTGACTGCGAGCCGTGAATACATGGCTTCTAAGACTTCATATGATACGTGTCATCGTTGTAACACAATGTCCTGCACCATCAGCAACAGCCTGCAGATACGTGAGCAAAAGTTGCGGCGAAGAAAGTCATGCCTGAGTCGCCCTGCGCATCGGTATTTTGTCGGTGACTGGCCGCGAATTACTCAACATCAACCGCGAGAAACGGCACCTGCTTCATTGCCTTTTGACATGGATCATGTAAAAAGGTGCTTGTATGATGTGGCACCAAGTAATCAATGTACTCCGGTACCGCTCCCTACTGGATTGGGCGCAGCTCAACCCAAAGAGGCCTTGGCGTGCAACAGCACTGGTTCGCTCAGTTCGCATTGAACTCTGCCAGGCATCCGCTGAGTAGCCCCCCCCGTTAATGCCCCAACAGCATGAAGAAGGGCAAACGCCCCAGCGCAAAAGGAATGGTCCTGCCCCAACAGCAAGAAAAGCATAGAAAAGCAAAACAAACAAAAGAAAGCCCCAACAGCTTAAAAAGATGATAAGCGCGCCCTTTCCCCCCTCTCTCCCCTCCTACGTCCCCCAGCCCAAACGCTGACGCGAAATGCCCTCACATATTGGCTTAAACTTGCGCTCTCGCATGAAAGCTCCGGACATTTTGAAGTTTCAATCGCGCTTTGGCGTGGAGCATCCTCACATTTAACTCTCAAAGCGTGATCTGGCGTGGAATGCCTCTCCCACATGCCTCAAAGGATACGGTTGTCCCTCCTACCGCTTGACCTCGCGTTTCGCTCTCCCACGGAATGTCTTGCATTCCGGCTTGAGATTGTGTGGTTGGATGGTTTCAAGTCTTGTCGATGTTGCGCTACCCGCTACTCCGTGATAGCGGCAGCTGAAGGCCGCTTCCAGTCAGATCTGGGTTCGGAATAATGGTTCCTCAGGATGCATTATGGAAACTGCAGAACCAAAACAGGTGAACACTATAAAGTCCTCATGGGTCGTTTGACCAACGTATGTGATCCGACAGATTCATGAATCCCTTACACAGCATGGCAGGTCAGCCCTCAACAAGCCAGAGTTAGTTGGACAAACCGGGGTGTTCATCTTAGACACTAGGATCACAAGCCTTTTCCATGCTACGCCGAGCCATGGTTTCTACAACTGCTGCGCAGGAGATAGCTTTGAAGAGCAATAAGTGGTTGAAACAAGACAGTGCCAAGCATGTTCCAGGTTCTGCAAGAATAGAAGTGGCCATGCATTTCATGTTTGGCTCTGCAGCCTCTGTAGAACTATTGGAGCAACAAAATGTTCTTACCAACTTAGAGGAGCCTACATACTCTCATCTTCGTTTTGAAATCCTGGGCTGTGTCCTCCCAAAACCTCAGTTCTTCGGATGAAATGTCTAGCAAGTCCTATCAAGACTTTGCAACCCACATGGTCGATTTTCAGCATGCCGAGCGCCGTGAGCGTGGGGGGTATGGATTGCATTCTGTCAGAGTCATCCTTGGCAGGGGTGCAGTTTTTTCCTTCCTGTCGGGCCAGCAGGGGGTGGGCGAGTGTCTTTTGGTTGGGTTGGGGGGTGCAGGTGCTTTGCTTGCTGCTGGTTGGGGGTTCATGATTTTGTTGGGTGGTTGTTCTTTGTCCGGGAAGGGTTGGGCGGGTGCTTTTTTTTTTTTCTGCTGGGTCGGGGTGTGTGGGTTTTTGGGGTTGGGCTTGTGTTGTTTGACTGTTGGGGCCGGGGGGCTTCAACAGCACAAGGGATGTGCGCCGTCCCGACAACAACAAAGACCCAGCAACGACTGTGACGACGACGACGGCGACGAGGACGACGACGACGAGGACGACGACGACGACGACGAAGAAGACGACGACGACAGCAACAGTAACAACAACAACAACAACAATCACCACCCCCAAAAAATGCGCTTACCGAATATTGCCTGCTTACTGACACCGAAATTGAATTAGGATCCTGCAATGATCTATGTTTCAAGAAGGGTTGAATTAACATGGGTTTGCATTCATCTAAAGCTTCATGAGCATCGTGAGTCATCTTCCGCAGGTGCGGGCTATGCAAGCAACAGTCGGTGGCGATCTCCGGGCGCTTTGGTTTGGAGTTTGTGACCGCACCCGTACATAGCATCTCATGTTGTGGGAATTATATAAATGTGTTCCGGATGTAGAGTACATGTGGACCGCGGCGCAGGGTAAGAGACTGAACGCTGGCCAAGCATACTTCCAGGCCCTTCCAAGCTTAAGCTTGCTATAGCTTGTTACACTACGGGCCACATCATACCTTAGATCCACTCGTAGACCTAGGTAAACTTTGAACAGACTCTCGGCACGGACCTGAAGACCTGTAGTTGGGTCCGCAAGGCCCAGAAAAAGATGACGAACCTAGCAGTTCTGAGTTTACGTGCGGTGGGTTTGCAAAGCTTGCCCGCTGAAGAACCTTCAGACGCGACAGTTCGGCTGTTTTTTCAAGTGCGCTTTGCGTGTCACTTGGAGAACTCGGCCGCTCTAATTATGTGTGTATACAGCAATGTGAAGCTGGACTCTGTAGCTAACATCTCTAATCGGGCTGGTGAGGTCCCATAATTTCCTTGCGTTGCTTTCGTCTGCATTCACTGCGGTGACAAACATTCATGCCTGCTAATTAGCGCTCCCTGTGAACCAGGGCTCCACGAGTCAGTACCCTACTCCTTCAGAAGTTTACGTACTTTGTGGTTCAATTTGCGATTTATTCAGTATTTCTTTCATGCTTCCCGCTGCAATCTTGATTTGTATTCTGGCGTTTGCGAGTGTTTTGCATTGTCCCCGCGCTTCTCGACAATGATTTTCTTGGTGGCATTTCCGTTATGAGTGGGTATCAGTGCTGCTGCTGCTGCTGCTGCTACTGCTACTACTACTACTACTACTACTACGACTACTACTACCACTACCCGCCACCGTGAAAAAACCGATCCCTCAAAATTCAAGAAACGCAGCTCCCGCTGTGGTGGCGCTCTCATTGTTGCCGCCTGAAAGTCGACGCCTTTCAAGAGGGGCCAGTGCATTTCGCGTGGAAGGCGGTGCGAAAAACATGAACGCAGGCTTCTGTCGGCTTCTCTTCGGTTGCTGTTCTTGTTCTTGCTGCTGCTGGTGGTGCGGCTGCTTCTGCTAGGAGAGGAAATGCAAAAGTTATTATGGTTTGGGCATGGATGCACTGGTGAGCGTATGCCCTTGGAACACGAACGGAATTATGGTTTGGGCATGGATGCTTTGGTGAGCGTATGCTCTTGGAACACAAACGTAACATTACTATGGTTTGAGCATGGATGCACTGGTGAGCGTATGCTCTCGAAACGCGAACGTTATTATGCTTTGGGCATGGATGACCGTATGCTCTCGAAACACGAACGTTATTATGGTTTGGGCATGGATGCACCGGTGAGCGTATGCTCTCGAAACACAGAACGTTATTATGGTTTGGGCATGGATGCTCTGGTAAGCGTATGTGCTTGAAACAAGAACGTTACTATGGTTTGGGCATGGATGCACTGGTGAGCGTATGCTCTCGAAACACGAACGTTATTATGGTTTGGGCATGGTTGCTCTGGTGAGCGTATGCCCTCGAAACACGAACGTTATTATGGTTTGGGCAAGCATGCACTGGTGAGCGTATGCTCTCGAAACACGAACGTTATTATGGTTTGGGCATGGATGCACTGGTGAGTGTATGCTCTCGAAACACGAGCGTTACTATGGTTTGGGCATGGATGCATTTGGTACGGATGCGCTGGTTAGTCGCATACGCTGGAAGACGGACGTGATGATGGCGCGGGCGTGGTCCAAGAACGGACTGACCAAGCAATATGGAAAAATATGCAAAATGGGGCTCGGTAAACACGGCGCTTGCTGCTACTACTACTACTACTACTACGACGACGACGACGACGACGACGACTACGACTACTACGACTACTACGACTACTACGACTACTACTACTACTACTACTACTACTGCTACTGCTGCTGCCGCTGCTACTCCTACTACTACTACTACTACTACTACTAGTACTAGGTACCCGTCTCATATGTCACGCTATGTTTTCCTTGCATTCGTAGAGGTTTTACTACGGGTTTTTGCTCATTCTGCTCATTCTAACCCAAACGGACCTGGTTCCTTTTTTAGCTCTTTTCTGGGATCTACCGTTTTTTAATTATGTAATTGTATCATCGCCCCATTAGTCCAAGCTACGCCCCATTAGTCCAAGGGTTTGCGGAATTCTGATGAAAATTTATCATCGCCCCATTAGTCCAAGCTACGCCCCATTAGTCCAAGGGTTTGAGGAGTTCTGATTTGATTTTATCATCGTCCTATTAGTCCAAGCTACGCCCCGTTAGTGCCAGGGTTTGAGGAGTTTTCATTCAGTGTTTTCCATTCTCTCGCATATGCAGTATTATTTCCCATGAGTTAAGAAAAAAGGACTGCATCATCAGCATCTGGAAACAGGGAAAGGCTAGGGTGAGGGAAGGTCTAAACCCCCATTTTGGCAGAAATCCATTTAAAAGAAACCCTAGGCCAGGCTTACCTAAACTAGGGAGAACCCTATCTGGCCAACCCCCTAAAACCATCAGCCTGCAGCGGTTCTAGGCTTAGCCGCGCGCAATCAGGATAAAGAGATTTAGAATTAGGTGGGTGATTTTCGTATGGTTTGGGTATATAGGATTTGTGTAAAGGCCTTTTTTTTTAACTGGGTATGCTTTCGCATAGGCTTTGGCTACAATTATGATGGATACCGTAGTAGTTTTCTGGGTTATTGTAATATTAAATCCATAGGTTTAAGTTTGGACTTTTTTTGGGGGGG